CATCGTGTCTTGGGTGTCTGGGGGAACTGCCTCCACACCCTCTGGCGTCTCACCCTGTGAGAAGGGCTCAAACACCTTCTGTGTCCATTGCTTCTCTCTTTCCAAGGAATGACTCTGGCTTTAAAAACCATCCAGAAGGGTTCATGCAATGCTAAGAGCTTTGAACCAATTACCACTAGATGGTAGGTATTTAGAGATCCATGAAAGGAGGTGTGTTTTCAGCAGATTTTAGGCACAGTATAGCATTTTTGGCAATGTCTTTAGGAAGACCCTCCTTAGCTTGGACAGCTATTGAAGGGCAATGTCACCAGAGCTGCCTTGTGTAAGCCTGGACATACCTAAAGTGATGAGAGAGGGGTTGGGAAATGCTCTGTGCTCTTGCCTGCCTCCAGGTTTCAAATGACCACTAATTAAAGTCCAATCCTAGCATTGCCTGTGAGCCTCTTGGTTCAAATGAGTTATTTCCCAGCAAAAGGGGTAGACTCTTAAAGACTAGAACACAGACTAAATGAAGGCTGAGTAGAAAGAGCAGGGGCGTAAGATGCTTCTCAGTGGAACGAGGCAGGCAGAGTGGGGGCTCCTAAATAGCTGGAAAGCAGGGGTTGACCTCAGGGCTTAGGCTACAGGTTGGAAATGGGCAGAACCTGGAGGAGTAAGGGAGGACGGTACATACAGGGCAATCCCTAGAAATACCAAAAAATTAACAATAAACTAGAATAGTAGGCCAAGGCAAGTGGATTGTTTGAGCTCAAAAGTTCCAGACCAGCCTGACTCAACTAAAAACAGAAAAACTAGCCGGGCATTGTGGTGCACATCTGTAATCCCAACTGCTCGGGAGGCTGAGGCAAAAGGATTGCTCAAGCCCAAGAGTTTGAGGGTGCTGTGAGCTGTGACACCATGGTACTCTACCCAGGGCAATAGAGTGAGACTTTGTCTCGAAAATAAATAAATAAATAAAAATTAAAAATAAACTGGAATAATTGGCTCAGCACCTGTGGCTCAAGTGGCTAAGGCGCCAGGCACATACACCTAGGGTGGCGGGTTCGAATCCCCAGCCCGGCCCACCAAACAACAATGATGGCTGCAACCAAAAAAATGGCCGGGTGTTGTGGCGGGTGCCTGTAGTCCCAGCTACTTGGGAGGCGGAGGCAGGAGACTCGCTTGAGCCCAGGAGTTGGAGGTGCCTGTGAGCTGTGATGCCACAGCACTCTACCCAGGGGGACAGCTTGAGACTCTGTCTCAAAATAAATAAATAAATAAATAAAATAAACTGGAATAATTAAATTGAGAAATTTAACTTCAGAAATTAATCCTAGGATTAAATTTCTGCTTTCTGCTCAAAAAAGAAAGAAAAAGAACAGAGAACCATAATGCATACGACTAAGGCATAGTACCAAGGTATGTACTTTTACTGGGTGGCCATAAAGTTCATGTGCTAATTTATTTATTTATTTATTTATTTTAGAGACAGTCTCACTTTGTCACCCTTGGTAGAGTGCCATGGCATCACAGCTCACAGCAACCTCCACCTCCTGGACTCAGGCAATTCTCTTGCCTCAGCCTCCCGAGTAGCTGGGAATACTGGCACCTGCCACAACATCTGGTTATTTTTTCTGTTGCAGTTCAGCTGGGGCCAGGTTTGAACCCAACACCCTCAGTATATGGGGCTGGCGCCCTACTCACTGAGCCACAGGCACTGCCCTTATGTGCTATTTTAAATTGCACACAAACTTTATGGCCACCTTGTATATAGGTATATGTGTGCGTCTATATTATATGCAATATATATACATATATATATTTTAGATGAAGAAATTTTTTAAAACACATCATAGGAAAGCAAATGAAAGTGGAAATAGATACAAATAAGGCTCAGAGTTCTGATGTTTTTAGGAGGAAGAGGACCTACGAATGAATCTTAACCCTCTCAAAGGTCACTGGCACCCCAGGAAATCTGGAGAGAATTGAGGCACAAAGATAGAACAAGAAAAAGCATATGTTAAATATGAATATAATATTTGAAACTGGACTTGGCAATTCCAGAAACAAACAAACAAAAAAAAGATGTTTTCCAAAAATTTCTAGGGAAAAAGTAATTTGTTCAGGTTAAAAAAAAAGTTAAGAAAATCACTTTTGAATTCCTATCTGCAGTAGGTCATTCTCAAGAATCTCAGAAATGATGAAATAGAGAATGCTGTTAATTTATGATTCTCTGGAGCGTCTCTTTAGCAGAGGTGCCATCAGGGTGGTTGGTTCAGGGGTTCACATTGTTTGTAACATGTGCAATACAAGGCAGCAGCTTTTGGACACAGGGATGGGTTCCAGGGGAAAAAAAAAAACTGGAATATGACCCTCAAGGCCTCTCTAAATTCTAGAACAATTGCTTAAGCCACCCTGATTCCTGCCCTTGAACACTCCCCTTGTAGGCGGTGCTTGAGTGAGTGAGTGGAGAAGTCTTTTTCCAGTCCATAGCAGGATGGTCAGAGGTTAGGTTCCTGATCCAGCTCCAGGTGTGAGGGAACCGTGGCCAGCCTCAGGGAAGGACGCTGAACACAAATGAAGTTATTTCTACCATCGTTGTCATAAGCAAGAAAAAAAATTAGCAGAGAGAGAAGAAGAAGAAGAGGAAGAAGAAGAAGAAGAATCTTTTTTTTTTTTTTTTTTTTTGAGACAGAGTCTCATTTTATTGCCCTCAGTAGAGTGCCATGGCGTCACACAGCTCACAGCAACCTCCAACTCTTGGGCTTAGGCGATTCTCTTGCCTCAGCCTCCTGAGTAGCTGGGACTACAGGCGCCTGCCACAATACCTGGCTATTTTTTTGTTGTTGTTGTGGTTTGGCGGGGGCCAAGTTTGAACCTGCCACCCTTGGTATATGAGGCCAGCACCCTACGCACTGAGCCACAGGAGCTGCCCCATAATCATTTTTAAGGATAAGAACTAATAGCTTCTGTGAACTTGATGAAAACATGAGTAAAGCAACTAAAGAGCAGAATCTTTGTTTTTCTTTTTTTCTTCTTCATGGCAGTATCTGATAGAACAAAACACACATGGTCCTTGAGTTTCCTTCATCTTCAGTTTGGCTAGGTTGGATACCTCGTAGGATTAAAGCTGTTCTCAAAAGGCACTCCTGAAAACCTTTGCTAGAGATCCAAGATGTCAGAAGTCACTGACCATGGAGATCTTAATTGTTAATGCCCCAGCTATATTGTTGGTACTTGGCAAAAGAGGACAGAAACCCATGCTGTGCAGAGCAATGCCGGAGCCAACTCCACTTCAGGAACAAGTTCTTCTGACAATGGGAAGTACTATCTCCTTAGTGGGATCTCACCCCTGGAACTAAGGGTGGGGAGATGGAAGAGGAGATAGGGACAAAAGGAAGAAGATGGGCAGCTCAGGGAGAGGGTGTGGGGAGCTCAGAAGGAACAGCAAAGGGGGATCTAAGAGTCATAACTGAGATGAAGGGACTTGAATTCTGGGAGGGGGGGGTGTCAAGCCAGAGGGTGGGGCAAAAGCACTGTGCTGTGAGTACAGAAGACAGTGGAGGAAGCTGGGGGATTGGTTCAGGGAAAGAAATGTGTGGTCAGAGAGAGGTCAGTAGAGGCCAGAATCTGATTCCTGCTATAACCTGAGCTCTGCAAATACATTGAAAATCCCATGAGATCTATGAGATCACCATAGATTGTAACAAGATACAATCTAGCGTAAGATCATTCAATTAATCACTGTGATTGAAGTCAAGGAACAAAACTTGGGCATTACGGGTGGTAATATAGAACCAAGATTAGTGGGGGAAATGCTAGCAATTTAGCTGGAATGTTTTTCAATTATGTTCATATTGGACAGTAAAGCGGCTGCATGTCATAGAAAAAAATCAGCAGAGAAGTCAGAGAATTCAAAACCTTTTCAGACACTTTACTAGCTGTTTGACCTGACAAAAAGTATTTGGGTTTTACTGGGGGCTGGGGTGTGTGTGATTGTGTTCTCATTTGTAAGAAGAAAATAATGATGATGATGATGATAACAGTAAGTGCCTGAAAGAATTGTGAGAACTAAATTGGTAACATGCATAAAAATGTTTCGTAAAACGGATCTTTTAAGTATGATAGAAACAGGACTAAGATAATAAAAAATTAAACATCTTGTGCAGAAAAATGCTAATAGTTAAAGTAACGACTACCATTTAGGGAATGCCTGCTGTGTGCCAGGTGCAATGCTAGATCTTTTGAAAACGTCCTCGTTTAATCTTTAGACTCACCTTGAAACTTGGGTATCTTTATCCCAATCACACAGATGAGGCTCAGAGAGGTGCAGTAACTTGTCCAAGATTTCTCCTTATAAAGACCTCATCACTTAGGAACTAAATAACCCAATAATATTTAGTCTGTGCCACAGTTTTTTCACCTATGCTTTGTAAAATAATCAAACTCCCAGAAGCAATAAGAAAATAACTGAAACAAATAATGTTTTTGAATTTCACAAATTAAAAGCATTTTATAAGATATAAAAATTCTGATGGGTAAATTGCAATAGGCTTGACTGAAGTTAGGAGCAATAAATAGATTTTAAGTCTAATCTGTCCTAGTACTCTGGTGCCATAACTTTGAAAATGTTTCTAGGAAAAAAATTGAAGAGAAGATCTTACTTCACAAGTAAAAAGTAGACTCCCTGATCAGTAAATTGAGTGGATTTTTGTTACTTTGTGGCAACCTTTTAAAAAAATAAAAGTTCATGTTTACCTATCCAGCTCATTGGAGTAAAAAGTGATATCACCATCACAAAACACAATCTAGGTCCCTTAATCCTGCCTTTTTTGATCTCAAAAGGTGGTAACATTCAGTTCGGAGCTCACTCATCTGTAAATTGCATCACATTATCTCTGAGTTATTTAAGAAGCAAGCTCTGCTTGGTTTCAGGCATTTTAACCTGCTAAAGGCAAGAAGAAGGGTTCACCACATAGTTCCAAAGGTCTTCAACTTGCCACAGCCCCAAAGAAAGCAAAATGATCGAACCTTTTGGGAATCAGTACATTGTGGCCAGGCCGGTATATTCTGCAAATGATTTTGGTGAAGAACATAAGAAGATAGAGAGATATCACAAGACATTTCTGGATCATCTCAAACTGTGTTGCAGGTAAGACATATCTTCAAGTACTAGCATCAGGAGTAAGTGAAACAATTTCTCTTAATTTTCTAGCTTTCAAGTTCTCCTTTCTGGCTCTAGCCCATAGTCTAGGGAGTCCTTGCGTCTGTGGCTTCCTAACTTCCTGCTCCCTGCCAGAGCTGGAAAGGTAGTATGAATGCCATCTCAGCTATCAGCACAGTCTTTCCAAATCAGATAGCTAACCGATGGGAACAGAGGCAAATTCTCAATTGAAATAGTGCACAGTTTAAGCTGAGGATAACAAATAGGCTATATTCTGGCTATAGAAAAGCAGCCATTTTTTGTTGTTGTTGTTGTTCTTTTGGTGGTGACCAGGGAGCAGTAGACACAGGTAGAGAGGTGAACATTAGTGGGAGTACAATCACTAATTTAATCTTTAATTTATTATCATCTTTACCGATTTTCCATTCACAATTAAGTACTAAACTTAAAAATTGATATTAATTGACCTGTGGCTTTCAATGTTTTCAGCTGTTCCGCACAAAAGGCCAAGGGAATTGCCCTCTCCTTGTTCCCCATAGCATCTTGGTTACCTGCATACCGACCAAAGGAATGGATCCTCAGTGACATCGTTTCTGGTGTCAGTACAGGGCTGGTGTCTGTACTACAAGGTAACTTTTTAAAGATATAATTAATATACCATAAAATTCATCCTTTCAATGTGGTTTTTAGTAAATTCACCAGGGTGTACATGTATCATCACTACCTAATTCCAGAACATTTCCTCCCTCCCCACCCCCCAATAATCCCTTATCCATTAGCAGTCACTTCATATCCCCTCCCACTCACCCCTCTGGCAGTGACTTTCCGCCTCTACAGATCTGCCTATTCTGGATATTTGATATACTATATAGAAGGATTTGTACAATATGACAATATTGTACACAATAACCTTGTGTCTGTTTTCTTTCACTTAGCTTTATATTTTCAAGGCCGATCCACATCGTAACATACATGGTACTCCATTCCATTTTATGAACAAATAATATTCAGTTGTATGAGTGTACCACATTTTGTTTATCCATTCGTCAGCTGATGGACATTTGGGTTGTTTCCACTTGGAGGCTGTTGTGAATAATGCTATTTTGAATATTTGCATATAAGTTTTTGGGTGAACTTACACTTCAGTTTTCTGGGATGTATTCTTAGGCATGTAATTGCTGGGTCATGTGGTAACTGTATGTTTAGTAGTTTTCTGCTAAATTATTTTCTCAAGTAGCTGCACCAGTCTACATTTCCACTAGGAATATGAGAAGGTTTAAATTTCTCCATATCCTCAACACTTGTTATTGTCCATTTTTT